ATGTTAGAGAGCAAAGAAGTGTTTTTAAAGGACCTTTTTTAAACAAAATTATTAGAAACTGTCTTCTATTTATTGCATTGTTTATTATCTAGTTAAAAAATGGAAAATGGAAAAATTAGTCCTCTTTAAAACAATTTTTAGCTTTGGTAAGCAGCCATGTTTTAAGATAGCAGTAGGAGTTAATTATTTCAAAAGAAAATGTCCGTACATGTTTAATGTATTAACCCTTAGAATGCTACTGCAATGTTTTCTATAGTTAAGCAAATGCATGGTTAGGTGACCATGGATTTATGTCCTCTGCATCCAGAGGGCTTAACAGGTTTATAATTCAGCCTATCACCTAAATTCTTTTGCTCTTTTCATATCTGTTGCACCAGCTTGATTATGTATAGAAAATTGGGATGTCTGCCCATTTTCAGGTAAAGACTCTTGGCAATGGAAGTGGTTGATTTCTTGACATTAATGTTCCTTCGTTCTATGTTTACACCCTGCTTGTTCTACATGTTTTGTACATTTCTTTGTTTTGTTGAGATGGAAATAAGTTTAAATTGTTGCTAAACCATTTGTTTTTCAAAAGTTTTTCACTACTTTTAATTGATTTTCATTATGTGTTTTTGCAGCAAGCTTAGTAGTGGAGGAGCGCACGAGACAGATGAAAATGAAAGTGCACCGTTATAATCAGACATCAGGGTCTGGTTCTAGTCAAGAACATGAGCGTGAGCAATATACCAAGGTAAAGTTAGTAGTATGAAAATGATATTTTGTTTTGAAAACTGAAGGAATTAACATGATTATTTTAAATATTGCATAACCCTCAGGAACACCATGTTATAAAGCCTGACAGCAGTATCTTTGAGTAGCAGCTTTTCAAAATCCTTTTTAGCCCCATCTGAAGTACACTTAAAATGAATCTGCAAAATGCAGAACACTTCAAAGCTATCTGAGGGAAGAAAAATCCATCAACAGCTGTTAAACAAAGTCTTGTCACGTCTAGCCTAAGAACTCCATGGCCTGCAAATTGCTGGAGGCTGGACAAGTGGACCATAGAAGTATTGTTGTATGTTGGCCCTATTCTTTTATTCTTCTCTAGGCCTTCACTGTTGCCTGATGTAACAGGCATCAGTCTAGGCAGGGACCTAGACAGAGTTAGATCTGATCTCATGGATCTGTTCTCATATTCATATAGTATTTTTGCATCCTAATATTGTCACAGATAAAATACTTCCCTTTCTGGAAATATGTATTAATTACTCTGAGTTTTGATATCCTTTTCTAGTGAAAATATAAAAGTTTTCTCTCATAATTAAGTATATATGAAATTGCATTAATGAAGTTATATAAAGAGCAAATAGGTTGGTTCTATAAAATGCGGAAATGGTATTGCAGAGCCGTGTAACTTTAAAACTGTACAGGCTTCTGAGCAAACTGCTGAAAATTTCTCATGGATCTGCATTGCCATTTACAAGTCAAGCTGTGAGGGGCTAGAGCTGTATCTTCTGTGCAGCTGCCAAAGACCTTTTGCCTTTAGCAAAACTGGGGGTAACTGAGGCCCAACTCGGGGGCTCACTTGCAGAACTCAAGAGGGAAAATGTTTAGTTATATTTTGTTTCCTTCTTGGAGCTACAGCACTGTTAAAGGGCGAAGATAAACCAGCCATAATTCTAGTCCGCTGGCAGCATTCCCACCATTCTGTTCTTTCACTGCCATTGAGCATTGCAGGATAGTCATGTGTTTACAGCAAGGAACCACGGGATGGCAGTATGAATGTAAAAGTGTATTGTAAAAAACAGAAAGACACATTTAAGAACAGTATGCGTTAAAAATAAGGTCTCGTAATAGTAGTAGTTGAGAGAAAATTACAGCTTTGATTAATTTTGCCTTTGATGCCTTACAGGCCATATTTGCAAGACTTCCTTCATATACATAAGAACACAACCCTTACATTTTTATTTCTACATTTTAAAAGAGATGAACTTTACATTTGGGGAATCATCACCTTACAGAAAACATCACACATCGTCCAGCTCCTAGCAGCTGAGAACGCCAGAATGCTCCTGCCACTCATTACAGTCTCACCATCTGACTTTCTGTCCCTACCCCTTCAGTACCACTTCCCTGTGTTTCACAGAATTGATGCATGTTCCTGGAGGAACAAGTAATGCATGTCAAAATGTGCTCAACAGTTTGAAAAATCAGAGAGCCACTTAGGAATGGATAAATAAGCAATTAGACATCTAACTGCTAACATCTAACAAGCTTGAAAAACTTGGTCAAGATCTTGTTAAGGTTAAGTGTGGAGGTAACTTTAATAAGGATGTTTCTTTTTTGAAACCATCTCACTGTGAGCATAGAAGTTAAATAAAACAGTTCTTACAGGAAACGGTAATAGTGGAAACAATGCTTTAGGCCCTCAGTTGCCAAACTGCCAGGTATCAGTGCTATTTTTAAAAAAAAAAAAAAAAAGGATGGAAATTTCCAAAGAGATCATCTATAAGAAGCCAGAATTTGTGTAATTAAAATAGCTCATTTGAATGGGTTTTCCTGTAGCCTTTATATGAGGTCCACTCCGTCAACTCAGGACAAGAGGGTGACTTTATACAGTGTGGCACTCCCAACCACTTAGCATTTTAAAAACACAGTAAGAATGAGCTTGATAAAGTTTGCCAGTGAGAAAGGCAATGGGTGATATGAGGACTTTGGCCAGGATGAACGATAATCAACTTCAGTTCATAGTTAAAGGCCAGATTTCTTATTTGCGTTAGTTGTATTTACACATTGATTCAAAAGTTTATAAGCTTTATTTTCCCTTATGAAACATTTTTGTTAATCTTGACTCTCTTTAATGTTTATCCTTAGCAGGATTTCTGCTCTCCAGTGAATTTTTCAAACGAGGGTATTGTGAATCTGATATATGGTAAAGTGGTTGCTGGATAACATCAATTTGCAATGCTACCAGTTTCCCTTATCTTCTAGTGTCTAGAGTTTTCTAGTACTCTCTTTAGGTTCTAAGTATATGTGAAAATGAAATCCAACTTGAAATCTCAGCATCATGAGTACTAGATGGAAAGCACTCTGTTCAAGTATTATTGATTCAGAAATTTTAAAAAATGTATGACCACAACTTTAAAGAAGCAAATTTTCTGTCTATTGTGGTGAGAAAAACATGTTCTGGGTACCTGGTGTTCTGACAGATGCGTGCTGCTTTCCGTGATAAAATAGTAGTAAGGAAAATGAATTACTTGTACTGGATTTTAAATCCTAACTTTTCGGGTATTTTGTACATGTTAATAGTATGGTCCTTTCCCCAAGTAGATTTCTTGGGTTTTGCATTAATTTTTACCTGGATAGGATAATCTGTTCTATAATAAATTTTATATCTATATAAATAGATATTTCTAATTTATACTTATCTATAATAGTTTTTAAAGTGATAAGAACAAATTATATTAGCACATTCTAACACTGTACAATATTCAGTGATGCAATTGTTTGCTTCGTATCACTATGACTATATTGTTAAACCAAGCAATCTTCTTCTTAGAGCTACTGTCTTTCTTTGCCTTCAGAAAATGCTGAGAGCATTAAGAAAATAGTCCAGACAGATTCAGATTAGGCAGTTCTGAGGAAAATCTGTTAAGTCATATCAGGTGATGCAATAAAGCTAATGAGTCTGACTTCTAAGGATGTAAGACTACACCTAATGCCTGGTCCCAAAATCTGTGAAAAATCTTTAAATGTTGCAGGAGCAAGACTTATTTTAACTGAAAAAGACAAAAAATATAGTGGTCTAATAGAGGTTGTAGAATAGTGAAAAAGAAATAGTAACTATTAAGAAATTGTTCGTCATAGGTGCAAGCATAGGTTGTCACTCTTTAACAGAGACACTTCCTTTGTCAAGTAGCAATGTTTGCCTAGTGCTTCAGAAAAGAAGTGGTTGTGTGTATTTGAGAAACTGCACTGTGCTATACATGAAGAAAATACTCCTTTGTGCTTCTCATATCAATCGGCTGACATGGATTTCCTGTATGCATGTTTTTCAGACATACACCATGCAGATTAATGTGTAAACATTTTTAAATAGCTCTCACTTGTTTCTCAATGAGCATACCAGGAATAGGTAACTGTCTACTCTAGAACATTTGTATAGGTCTTGATGGCTCTTCTGCTCTAAGTGTTTTGAGATCCTCACATCCTTACTTCCTTCAGTTCCCGTGGAAGAGCTCCATAATTTATATGATACAGTACAATTCTAAAAAGCCAAATTAAAAAAGTACGGTGTGGATTTAGTGAAAGTATTTAAAGAACTTTAAATAACTTTCTCTTCTCCTTTCTTGTATATTGGTAAGGCTGTATTGGATAGTATCCCTTCATATGTTTGTGCTGCTTCTGTATCTGGGAGAATCAAAACGCTTCGGTAGCATAATTCTGGATTTGTACAGATATAAATGAAAGAATATCTTAGTTAGGATTGTAACTCAACATTCAGTAGGCTTTTATTACAGATGCCATGAACACAAACACAATACCTGCAGCTGTATATATATAGAAAGGGATTCTCTAGGAAATATCCTAAATATTTTCTTTTCATCCCCTTTCCTCCATCTTCAAGAGAAAATAGTTAATAAGTAGCATATAGATATTACAGTCTCTCCCATACTAATACAGTTTCACAAAATTCCACAAGAGCCATTCATTTGATTCCTGGGCTTTGCTTACAGCTTTTCTATGGTTTGATTTGCCTATTTTTACTGTTGGCCGTTAGATCTCTGAAAGTTGAGTGACGTTCACAGTATTTGAACTGGGTAAAGTCCTGGGAGGAGTTACCTAGAAGCACTAGTACTTACAGTTCTTTGGACCATCATGCGAGCTTCTCCTAAGACGCAGACCCTAATGCTGGCAGGGGTCACAAATGGGGGCCTGGAAGCACCGGGATGCTGACTGCAGGGCCACAAATCCGTGCAGCCTTCAGAGGAACCCTGTGCTAGAGTCATGAAAAAGTTGTAAAACCCAAGGTGCTTCATGGATGGTTCAGCATGTTTTGACAAATTCCTTTTTGGAGTAGGGTGCCTCAAAAGATAGGTATGATCTCAAGTCTTGCTTAAGTCCTTCTGGGAATCTAGCCCTTAACGTTTCTGATCTAGATTTATTTTTCCTCATTTTAATCACATAATCACTTACTTGCAGAGGTTAGTCTCCTGAGGCTTTTTCTGTAGTTGAAGGAGGGGACACTCCTTCAGTTTTCAAAGCTCTGGACTATTGTATCCTCCATGGGGTGGGGAGAGAAATGCAGAAGTGTAAATGCTTATTAATATATAATTATAATAGTTTATTAAAAGAGTTCTAAAACGTGCCTTATAATCAGTAAATTGCTAACTTTGTTAGTCATTGAAGTCATTGAAGAATTGTGACAGTATCTATGATGTACACAGTCTTTTGGTTTGCAGCTGTGCTCTTTCCATTGACATTAACACGTCTGGAGTTCATCATAGCCCTTTTTTCTCCTTCTGCTGACGTAGAGGAAGAGTAAGAGGCTCCATAGGTGGTAAAGTGAATGGAAGAACTGTATTTTAAGTGTTTATATTAGAGACAGTTGTATTGAAAAAATGTCTGTAATACAGAAGCAGATAGTCAATGCAGACAGTTTGGGCTTTTTAAGCTAGCTACTATTAATGTAAAAAGCTGCTGCAAACTTTAGCAGCTCTCCTCGTGATAAATAGTACGTTTTGAGATGGAAATGCTACATAAGCTTTAACTGCTGTAGATACAGAGTTGAGAGAGAAGCGATTGCTCTGAAAATTCACTTAATCTTGAAGCTTCAAAATTATTTTTGTGTTATATTTAAGTGTAACAAGATAGGGAAAACTGTTACGAATATATTTGTATTTATATGATGTATATGTATTATATGATGCTATCCTGAAGAGCAGTAGGATTCCAGATGAGTGAGACTATGTCATATTACTTTTGATCCCAATTGCAAACCTTCAGACATTACTGTAATGCACATATCCAATAAGTGGATCTCTTTTAGCCTATAACATTTTCGTTCTGAGTGATCTGTTCAGGTGTATTGCAACAGTAAAATAGTCTTCATTTAATGAGCACTGATGTGAGGGAGAGTACTGTTCACTTCTGTCTCTATTTGAGGGAAAAAAAGTAAACTTCAAAATCGCTTTCATTTTGTTCATCTGTTTTTTCCCCCCAGACCATTCATGTTATTTGAAATTTCAGTAAGGAAAATAAAATAATCTTGCAAAGTAATTTGAAAAGATATTTGACTGGCAGTAGTGCAAATTATTTTTATGAATTTTCTGCCAAGAAAAGTTCACTAGAAACAGTACAAACTGGCTATCTCAGCTGACTTCAGAATTCTCAAGTAGTCTGTACTCTTCCATGGGAGAATCTGTAAGACAGAAAGGGAGAAAGATACAAAAAAGTTTGTTTTTTTTTTCTTTCTAGCCATCTTCCTGGAAGTCTCTTGGGGTGAGGAGCTAGGGAGGAGGCTATTAGCGAAGGGTATTACTTGATTATCAAATTGTACTGAAAAGAGGCAGGTAGGTCATAAAAGTTGTGTGCTTCGAGGAATTCAGTAGAAGCACCTGCTATGACAATAAAGGGCAAAAATCATAATAGTAGCAAGAATTAAAATGTAACTGCTGCAGCACTCAGCATTATTTGTCAGCATCACCACTTTCTATGTTAATCGCTATTTCTCTGAAGGGAAAGGGTCTCTCTGTCTCAGGAATCACTGTCCTGGGATAGGGTACAAAGGGGTAGTAAAAGCTCACCGTTTCATGCAAATCTCGGTAGGAAGGGAAGCTCCATGTTTTATACAGTAACTCTGTGGTTGGAATAGCAAGGCAAGAAGCAGAAGACCTGTATTTAGTTTTTTCTTCCTCTCCCAACTCACTGTAAAATACTTTCTCTACCAACAGCTGAAAGACTGTCTATTAAGCCAGTCTGATATTTAAAGCAATCCCATTTTGTATGGACTATGTTGGACTAGGGAGGAAGGCAACTACACAGCCTAGTGAACAGGCGCTCAATTAAGAGAGAGGATAGCTGGGCTCAAGACCTTGTTGCAACAAATGGTTGCATATTTAATATTAAACTGTCATTCTGTGAGCCTGAGTTCCTAAACAGTCACTGACACAGAAGCTGGGACCTAGCTCTTCTTTCCTGCAGGCAAGTGTCTTAACCAATAGGCTGGACAAGCATGCCTGATGCTGTTTTTTATCTCTCTTCCCCATACTTCCCAGCCCGTGTAGGTGGCCCATGAACAATGGAGCAGGCACAGGAAGAGTGAACCAGAGGGTCCTCCCACACCCCCATATAGTCCACTATGTTCAAATTGTGTTATTGCTGTATTTGAATATTAAATTGAGTGTTGAACAAAAGGCCAAATTCAGATTTGGCATGGGAGAAAGGCCAGCAGCTTGTACGTGCCTCCACATTAAGAAGAAGAAACGTTTAGGGCGTGAGGAAGGAAGGAAGTGCATCTGGTTACGGTTGCTCCATAATGGAGTGGAGAGCTCAGATTGTGTCAGTCTTCTCAACTAGCACATCATTCCTGCCGGAGGAGCAGGTGAATCTTCTGTTAACATTCCAGATTCACGGTATGCGCTTTCAGACAAAGGGACCAGTCCTCTACTGAACAGGGGGCAAAGTTTCAACTTGCATAGACGATACCTTGTCACATAACAGCTATATACAGACTCATTATGGCCACAAAGAGAATGTAAACTTTCTGGTGAGGAAGAAAAGTAAATAGACATCATCATGATGGAGGGGGGGAGTCGGATTGTCTCCAGCAAATGCAAATAAGGCATGGAGACATTTCTGGAACACTTTAACCATTACCATGTATAAAAAAATATGAATTTCAGAGACATTTCATTTTTATATTTTAAGTATTTTTAAAAATTTACTGTAGAGAAATCATTTCTAGATGTAGTTTAAATAAATATGAAGGGTGACATGCCTATTCCACTGAAATCAACAGAAAATTTCCTGTTTATTTTAATAGGGTCAAGATTTCCTTTGCAGATTGATCAAGTTCTGTTTAAAGTAATGGAAAACCGGAACTTTCCATATGTTTAGATGCTTTTCATATTTTTAGATATCTCATTTTAGGAAAGTTTTAAGAATTCCTTTAGGAATTCTATGAGAATTTTGTATAAAATTGCAAAGCTGGCTCAGGAGTGGAACTGTTTAATGTAAACTGGAAAAGAGTAACCATTTGATTTTCAAGCCTCTGAACATGTACGTTTAGCCATAAAAGTAAGAAATTTTTATAACTTTTACTTGTATTTGGAATATTTTAAAGTATACACTTTAGAAGTGTATGCTTTCATAAAATATGAAATCTACAGAGGTGAAAATGTTTCATTTTTATGAAATAGTGCTGATAAGAATTGGTGTGTTCTGTATTTTAGTTTTGGAGAGATGCATTTTGCAGTTTGGAAGAGGACAAGCAGTGAAAATAGTTAAAAGACCCTGTGAGCCGTTTCCAAAAGATGGTCAGAATAAACCTATCAGCATAGTTTCACTTTAACCCCATTGGTAATTTATATTCAGATAAGTCACACAAAGTCACTTGGAAAGAAAATCTTCAAATAAATCCTTACTTGAGCTGAAATTATTTTTAAATATTGGCGTTCCTGAATCCTGTGTACTTTATTAAATCAGATTTCTGCTGCATATGTTTCCATGTCAAAGCCTTTGAGGCATGTTATTTGAGCTCCAAGATGTGGTATTCTGGAATCGTGCTGCTGAGTTTCACTTAGTATCTGAGGTTGAAAATCTGCCTTTAGTGAGCCAGAGCTTTTTCTCTCAACGTCTTTTATTCAGTCAGCCAATGCAAACCCCTCACGCGGTGTTGCTAAGACTTTCTGCAGGGCACACTCCTCAGGTCAAACCCATAGGATTTTATTCATAAGTTGGCTTGTGTTCTGAATCTTGGCTGTGCAGGAGCTTTGTATAAACTTTCTGATTTTTCATAAGGAATCCCCTATATAAAATCACTCCTTAGTGTCCTCTTTATTTCCTCCCCTTCCTTACTCCAGTTAACTCCTTTATCTTACTTTTGGGGGTTTAACAAGAGGTTCCCAAGTATGTTGTGGAGACCTGAGAGGGAGCTGCTGAAAGGCACTGGGGCAAGGGAAGATAAACATGTCTTGAGGACAGGAGCTCTGATACATTCAACTGCACAAACTTCAACTCTTGTTTGCCAGGTTTTTAAAGTTAAATCATGACATTTGCTCACTGACTCGGCCTGCAACCCAGTGCTAGCTAAGTTCCGCTGGGGCTATTCATAAACTGTCACACCTTTGTGTATAATTCATAAATAAAATTTTATGACTTACAGTTTCACAGAGCACAGATCTGGAAAATGGACTCCGTAAAGTTGTCATGTCAAAAACTGACTAATGTTAGCACTTGTTAATAATTTTCACCTAAATACACACTGGAACAGTATACCATTATTTAAGTCACTTTTCAGCGATAGGTCCCTTTCTCTCTGATGACAGTGAATCTTATTTTTGGGAACCTGACTATGATTTGATCCTTGTCTGTATGATTGAAGATTTAGGTAAGTAAGTGTGACATTATTAGGGCGGAAGTCCCTTTTTATAAATATTCTTACTGCTTATGTAAGTAATACAACTATGTGCATACTATGTGATGGAGGGCTTAGTGTCACAATCAGTTTTAACCAGTTAAAGCTTCTGCTGTTAAAAGGTAGTGATGTCCACCCGGCCACCTATTCCTGCT